AGGGAAGCTGTAGTTGCCACATCGCTGGAAGTGTTCACAGCCAGGTTGGATGGGGTTTGAGCAACCTGCTCTAGTGGAAGGTGTCCCTGCCCGTGGCCGGGGGCAGGAGAGAGATGATCTTTAAGGTCCCTTCCAACCCAAACCAATCCATGATTCTATGATCCTATAACAATCCATCTGAAAGCACAGACCTCTGGTATTCTAAATTCCCCCTATTCCCTTTCCTCTGTCGCTCTAGTGCAATTTTTTTATATTCCTCTTTTTGCAAAATCAGATCCCAGTTGCAGGCACGGGCAGCAGGGCAGCACAGGGACCTTTGTGTCTGCTCTGTCACCGTTGCTCGCCATGCTTGGGCATCTCTTGCTCCCCTGTCTGTGTGAGTGACATTTAAGACAGGATCATTTCAGTTGCCAGGGARGGAGRGAGGGAGGAAGAGCAGCCATGCTAATAGATTATTTTGCTGATTTTGCAAGTCTGAGTGAAGGCATTGTTCTGAAACAGYCAGGCTCTGCAATGAAATTAGACTAGTCTGTTCCTTGCAAAATCTTGTTAGCAAAAAATGGTCCTGGCGTGCAGCAGATGTTGCATCTCCCGTGGTTATTTCTCTTCCTGCCATAGCTTTTTGCTTCCCCATGTCTGGTTTGACAGGATCCAGATCCCCAGTGAATCTGAATCTCAGAAACCTGCACCAGGAAACATTTGTGGTAAGATAGTCACCAGTTATAAAGCCAACTAGAGAGTGATTTTCTCCTTACAGCCCTGTGTGGAATTGGATTGGCTGGAGAAGACAAGGAAGATATTTGCTGTTTTAAATGCGTTTGGAAGAAAATTGTGTGCATTTCGGTAGAGTGTACCAAAGGGGAGAGCAGAGGAAAAGATCACAGTGCTTTTGGGTGGGAAGCAAAAAAGTGCACGATAATTGCACTGATTGGGTTTAATTTTTTTTATTTTTTTTTTCTTAATGGACTTCAAAAACCCAAAGCCAGAGGAAGCAAAGTGTTCCAATCTGGGCTCCCGTAAGCCAGACCTCTGCAATCAGCCCCTCATCAACCGAGACCTCTGGCTCTGATTGCCACCTCTGTCCCACATCCATTGGTGGAGAAAGGATATGAACCATGAGAGCTTTGAATCATTATTTTGGCCCTCTCTGTGTTATCAGTCTGATCTTCCCATAGGACCATCCACAMAGGCTTTCTCTAAATTGCGTTTTGTTGCCTGGAGCTCTGCAGGCATTTCAGCAGGCAATTTTAGGGAGGGCAGATTATCTTATGTGTTGCTTAGGATCCTGGGAATAACATCTCCAGAAGTGCTCAAAAAACATGTGGGGGTGTCACTTGGGAATGTGWTCTACTGGCGAACATTGAAGTGTTGGATTAATGGCTGGACTTGGTGATTGCATCTTTTCCAGTCTCAATGATTCTGTGATTCTTGAATTCCACCAGGTTCTCCTTGCAGGTAAAGAGACTTGGATGATTCCTTGGGTCAAGGAAGAGTTAAAAGCAACACATCAAAGTCAGAGCTTCCCTCGGTTTCTGCTTCCCTCGGTTTCTGCAGAAACCTCCCATAGGTTTCTGCTTCCCTTGCTGTTCCTTCCCGTTCTCCATCTGTGTCCAGACTGGGGGCAAGCAGGACCCAGGATCTGATAAATGATCGTGTGGTAAATCAAGGCCAGGTTGGGCTCCCTGTCTGCTGAAGCCTCGAGTGGCAGAGGCAGTTTGAGCTGGGTCTGTGGCAGCTGAAGCCCGAGCCCAGAAGGCCCCAGGGTGTGTTTGGGTGTCGATGTTGGTGTGCTGCCCTCTCCTCTTGGGTCATAGGAGGGAGGGTGATGTGGTGTTTGCTGCCTGGATAAAGGTTCTTGCTCACCTGGTTTCTGTCTGCTGAGTGGGCGGGAGGGGAGGAAACCCAGGTCATGACCTCCTCTGATCAGGGGATCTCTGCTTCTCTCCTCCCTTTGCACATACGAATCCCAGGCACTGCATTCCATCTGGCTGCAGAACAAGCTCCTTTTCACTTCCAGCACTTTTCACAGGAAAAGGAACACTAAATGTTCCAAAGCTTTTTTTGGCTTTTTGACCTATTTGCCRCTGGTATCTTCTTCATCACCCACCTCTGCACGTGGGCATGGTTCTCTGTGGCTCTGAGTGTGCTTTGCATCCCACACCAGGACCCCACTGTGCTCCATGCAATCCTGGGGGCATTGCAGCCTGGCTGAAGCWGTACCTTGGTCCTTGGCTCCCACCTCAGTACAGCCAGAGCACACAGGGAATGTGATCCCAGTTGATTGAGGCCACACAGTCTAGACCAGGTAGGTACAAAATGTGTGAGTGGAAACTCAGCAGCTTTGAAGGGGACTGAAGAATCCAAGTAATTTAATATTGGTAAGCTCCAGTCTAAGAAATATGGCAAAGTTTCCCAGGAGGGAAACTGAACTTTTGCCATACAGACTGACCCACAGATGAACTTACCCTGGTAGAATCAGTTCCACAACATTAGAACAAGAAGGCAGTGCTGCCTTCCCCTCTACAAGGATTGGATATTGAGAACAATTTCTTCACTGAAAGGGTGGTCAGGCAGTGGAGCAGACTGCCCATGGAAGTGGTGGAATCACCATCCCTGGAAATGTTCAAGGAAAGTACAGATGTGCTGCTGAGAGACGTGGTTTAGTGGTGGACTTGRCAGTGCTGGGTTAATGGCTGGATTCCATGATCTCAGAGGTCTTCTTAATGATTCTGTGATTCTTCACTCTGGAGAAGAGAAGGCTCAGGGGGAGCCATAACGATGTCCATAAATACCAGACAGCTGGGAATGAAGGGGACAGAGCCAGACTCCTCAGTGGTGCCCAGTGACAGCCTAAGAGACACTGTGTGCAAACTGAAAATCAGGAAATCCCATTCAAGCGTGAGAAAAGACTTTTCACTGTGAGGGTGCTCCAAAAACTGGCACAGGCTTCCCAGAGAAGTTGCAAAGCCTCCATTCCTGGAGATACTCAAAACCTTCTGAACACAGTGCTGAGCAAACTGCTCTAGCTGACCCTGCTTTGATTAGGGTGTGAGGAGTGGATAATGTCCTGAAATTCCTTACAACCACATTGATTTGGCATTTCTGTGCTTAGGATCACTGGGAGTCTGCTGGGACCAAGCTCAGTCCCAGGGCTTGAGCGTGGTGTGTGGTTCTGCAGAGGAGCGTGGTAGCCCCGCTCTGCACTCCAGGGCAGACCATGCTGCAGCCTCCCAGCACTTGAAGGAAAGGTGGGGACAAACTTTTTAGCAGGGCCTGCTGTGATAGGAGAAGGAGAAGTGGCTTTAAACTGAAGGAGAGTTCATTWAGACTACCTATAAGGAAGGAAGTTTACAGTGAGGGTGGTCAGACCCTGGCACAATTATCCAGAGAGGTGATCAATGCCCCATCTCTGGAAGCATTCAGGGTCAGGTTGGACTGGTCTCTGAGCAACCTGATCCAGTGGAAGATATCCCCGCTTCCTGCAGGGAGTTGGACTAGATGGCCTTTAAAAGATCCCTTCCAACCCAAACCATTCTGTGACTTTATGTTTCTCATGATTTTGTGTTCTCACCTGTCTGTGGGATATCAAAAGACTCCTTCACTGTAATCTGCAGATCCCCCCAAGGGCAGAAGGGTCCTCAGATGGGATAAAGACGGTGCCTCTGCCTCTCAGAGCAGGATCACAAAGAGCTGATCTTGCAGACAGCCCCGTTACGGAGCAGACACATCCCCAGCTGCCGGTGCTTCCCGGTGGGATGGAACAGGAGCTGATCCTGTGCTCCTCTCCCATCCCTGCCGGTGCCCGGCGATGCTGGGTCGCAGGTGCCTCCTGCCTGTGATGCTGTCAGCTTGCCTCCCCCTAGCGCTCATCCCAGCCTCCTGCAACACCAGCTTTAGGGGATTCGTCCTTTTCTTTGTGTCTGATCCTGSACACTTTGTGTCCGGGTTTTTTTCAGGTGTTTGGTGCTGGCTGGGTTTGGTGGGAATAGCAGGAGGTGCTTTTKACTCCTTTTCCTCCCTGTGATGGGGCCCTAGGTGGGGCTCTGCCTGGAGTGCAGGGKTTGGAACTAGGTGATCTTTAGGGTCCCTTCCAACCCAAACCCTTCCRTGAATCTATGKGTAGAGGCARTRSARGTCCTTATATGCAAAATCTGGGTGTATTATTCTGGGTACAACCAGTCTGAAAAGCTGGGACGTGTGGGGGAAGAAGGACAATCTGCTTTTCCTTTTTCCTCTCGAAATTAAATGTGATAACAAAGGGGAAAAGGTTCTTTCAGCTCTTTGTCCCATCTGCTCCCAGCCTTCAGCTAAGCATGACTTTACAAATGGGATTGATTGGGAGAAAATACACTTTTTAAAAAGTGCTGCGTCACCTGAAGCTTGCTCAACACTYTCTGTTATTTAAGTGCTTTCTTGGCCAGGCTCTAAGTGGGAGTGGGAAGCAGAGAGGGCAGCCTGGCAGGAGCCAGGCAGAGAAAAGCCGATGGTTTTGGTGCGTGGTTGGAGGGATGAGCTCACCTCCAGCAGCCTCCTACCCGAGTTTCTCCATTCATGGTGTCTGTGCAAAACCCAACCCAGCATCCTGGTTTTGGTGGCAGAATGAGTATTTAGTTCTCCTGGCCCAGCTACAAAGCTTTTGGCTCACCAAATTTTTTTTGATCTGCTGTGCTAGGATCTGGAAGGACAGATCCCTCACGATTTGTAAAATGTTCACAGACAAACTCTTATTGACAGGGATAATTGTGAAAAGCTGCACTGGTTCTGGGACAGAACAGGGAGTAGGTCTAGTGGTGCTGCCCATGTCCTGGTGAGAGCAGAAGGCAAGACAGAGTCCTTCTGCCATCACCAGTGTGATGAGCGAGGCCAGCAGAAAGCTGCAGGTCACGTTTTCATGGATTCAGAGCAAGAGGGGAAGTTACTTTCCTTTGCCAAGAAGCCCTGCTTCTGTTTTCCCTGTCTGCTCACTTACCCAGTGTGTCTGTTTTCCTCCCATCCCACAGGAAATCTGCAATGAYCCACGCCTCTTTGTGGATGGGATCAGCTCCCATGACTTACACCAGGGCCAGGTGGGGAACTGCTGGTTCGTGGCTGCCTGCTCCTCCCTGGCATCCCGGGAGTCTCTGTGGCAGAAGGTGAGTGGTTCCCCATGCCAGGGGAGAGCCTGTCTTAACACCTTGGATATTTACATTGTGTTTGTCCAGCTCAAAAACTGGTTCTCAGGGGTGCTTCACGCCCTGAAAAGTGATGAATGTACAAAAGCCTCCCTTAAAGGACTGTCATTCACAGGGCATTAGTCGTCATGGCTGCAGTCACCAAAACCCTCKGCCAGTTTCTCCTTAACCAAGTGGATCAAATCCCATCCTGTTTTTCAGATCCCAAATTTGACCCTTCGAATTCCAAAACAATCTAAAAACTAACAAGAACAGAGCTCAGGCTGCTCAGCTGCAGCGTTTGGCCCCATTGCCTTGTTCCCATGGTGTGACCTCTCTTTGGCTGTTTGCTCTGTTCCTACCTTGGTGGTGAGATGCCTCATGCTGGGGCAGGCAGGCTGATTTCAGGGTGTTAGTATCTCTCCCAAGTCACTGCTTCCCCAAAACACCATCCCTGGCATGTCCCATGTCTGGATGGCACCATGCAGCAGTGTTCCTTCAAACGTGGGGTCCAAAGGGAATGTGTTGCGGGCCRGAAAGGCACCAAGGAGCTGTGCCAGAGTGAGGGGCTGCAGACTGGGGAGCAAGCAGAGGGGTCCAGGGGGAAGGAGGTGCTCAGTGACACTCCCTTGGGCAGTCTGTGCCCCTCTCTGCCATGTCCTCAACTGTGCAAGATGCCAGCCCTGTGACAGCCAGGGCAGGGACACTTCAGGCTCTGGTCTAGGTCTATGTCAGCACTGGGCAAGAAACCAGCAAGTTGCAAGCAACTTTTCCCAGATTTTGCTGCAAAAGGCAGCCAGTGTGTGCACACAGCACCATCTGCTTCACCCACAGCCTCCTACAGGGCCTGGGATGGCTTCCTCCACCCCACACCTTTCCATCTGCTCTGTGTGCTTTGGTTCTTCCAGTCTTTGCTGACCCAGTGGTGAGCAGGAGCACCAAGCTCAGGGATTTCGTGCAGCATCTCCATTTTCTGTTAAAATTAAGGTTTTTCTTCATACGGGAGCAGGGTAGCTGTTGTTGCCTCCTGGATCAGCAACAAGGCTCCCTCCCTGGTGGCTGCTGTGGCTCTCATTACAAGGGTGATGCACAGGGTTGTTTCTCTTCTTCCTCAGCATCAACAATCCCCAAGGGTGAGTTGTCTTCCTTCCTCCCCATTCAYTTCCAGCTCTGTCCTGGGAAATGCCAACCAAACAGAGGCTGGGTCCCTTTGGACACTTCATTATTACAGTTTGCCAGGGCACTGCTTTTCCTCCCTTGGCAATTTGGCTGTGGATGTTTGTGACATCTCATTTTCCATTGCCTTAACTCTCAGAAGCTTTATTTTACCTGCCCCCTCTTTTCTTTCAGAAAGGTTTGATTAATAGAATTATATAATTTGGAAGGGACTTTAATGACCATTTAGCTCCAGTCCCTCTACCACRGGTAGGGACACTCTCCACCAGACCAGGTTGCTCAGAGCYCCATCCAACCTGTCCTTAAACACTTCCAGGGATGGGGCATCCACAAATTYTCTGAGCAACCTGTGCCASTGTCTCACCACCTTCACAGTAAAGAAYTTCTTACTTGCTGAAGATCTCAGAGACAGAAATAATGGCCCTTTGGTCCTCAGTGTGGTTACACATGCAGTTGTGATAACCTTGCTGGACACCAAAATGTCTCTTTTTGGGGTCTGGCAAGAGCTGAAAGATGCTTCTGCAGACTTTAGTATCTCTGAAATATAAGTCCAGGAATCTTGGCCCAGGTCTCCCCCTGCTGCTAGAAAATGCATTCCTGGTGTACACCAGGATGTAACAGAGGGTCTTGYATGTCCCTTGCTCCATTTCACACAGGGAAACTATCTCTCAGGTGTCGGGTGGCGGAATACCTTCAAGAAAATAAGGCAGSCCAGCACATTCCTGTGTATCCCAGGAGGTTATTTTTTTTCAAACATTTCCTTGCACCTTGCTCTCTCCAAGTTTGTGCTTGCCATTATGCCTGTGTGGTGTGAGTCACTGAGTGGGAATGGGGTACAGGAGTTTAGTTGAGAGCTGTGTTCTGAATTTCCAAGTTTTGGCTGACCCTTCATGGCTCCAGGTGTGATCTGGCTCTGTAACAACCTCTCCATGACCCTTCAGACATATCTAGCTTTTATGAAAAGAAATGGAGGCATTAAAATGGGGGGCAAAACCATGCCAGGATGCTGGTGCTGACTTGGTGCTGCGGGAGCAATGTGGAGTTTGACTCCTGCCAGTGTGCCATCCAGAAAAGGACACAACGGTCATRTCAGTTTGCTGTTCACTGACTTAGAGTCAGTTCATCCCTTGGGATCCTCATATCCTTTCCTGGATGGCACAGCCTGATGGAGGCCACCAAAATGGTCTGGAGGAGGAGAGAAGGTGAAACRGGAGCTTATTGCTGTGTGCAGCTGCTTAACCACCGAAACATAGAATAGTTTTGGCTGGAAGGGACCTTCAAAGATCATCTCATTCTAACCCCCCTGSCATGGGCAGGGACACCTTCCACTAAACCTTGTTGCTCAGAGCCCCATCCAGCCTGGATAGTGGAGTGTGGACAGGATGGAGGGAGGCTCCTGCTGGGATTGCTCAGAGGACAAAGGACAGCAGCACAAGCTTCAGCTTATCTTCAGCGCAGTCAGGCACTGGAACACAGGGCCCACAGCAGCTGGAGRGCCTCTGTCCATGGAGATACTCAATGATGGACTGGATGAAGYCCCAAGCAACATGATTTAACCCTGAAGAAGTCCTGCTTTGAGCAGTTGGTTGGACCAGACTCCTCCAGAGTCTCATTCCAGCCTGAATTATCCCATGTACCTACGCTCAGAGAAAGCTACTGTCACTCATCCCTGCCAAGGTGGCCTCCCTGGCTGCATGTCTTTGTTTTGGGATAACGAGCCATGGTTGCCAGGGAGGCTGACATCAGCCATCCCCCTTCCCTATAGATTACCGTGCGCAGCAACACCTCCAGTGTCAGGAGGCTCTCAGGGGAAGCCCCAGAGATGTTTTGCGTCACTGGCCTAGGTTGCCTAGCACTGCTAGGGCTGTGGAGAAGGGACACCATCTCCAGGGGCCCCCTGATCTTTCCCCCTGCGTGTCCTGTGTGAGAGCCACACAGTGCTGAGGACGGAGCCGAGGAGCAGCGCAGGGGATGGCAGCTGAGGCAGAGATCCTGGAGCTGCCCYTGGTCTGCGATGAGCAGCTCACCCAGCGCATGTGGCTGCGGTCCCAGAGCCTGCAGCAGAGCAGCGGGAGGCCCCAGGATGGAGAGAGGCTCCTGCACCCCAATGAGCACATCTACCGAGTGGATTTCATCCGGCAGCACCAACTGCGCTTCCTCCGCTGGGATGTGCGGCTGGAGAGGCCCGGGGAGGTCACGGTGACCGGCACCTCCCAGCACTGGACTCCTGACCTCACCCCCCTGATGAAGCGGCAGCTGCTGGAGCCTGTGGGCATCTTCTGGAAGAAGCCCGGGGCCAAGGAGGTGGAGTGCAACGAGGCGGATGCCCAGGAATTTGGGGAGCGGGTRGCGGAATTAGCCCAGATCCGCAAGGTGATGTATTTCCTCCTCGCTTTCACYGGCGGCCTCGAACCAGCTCAGCTGAAAGGCTCCATTGTTTTTAAAGCCTGATCCCCTCTTGCTCAGCTTTTCTTGCTCCAGCTATGCTTTTTTCAGCTCAGTTCTTKGTTCAGTTTTTACATCTATCTTTTTGTCTATTTTTTTTAATGAGAGACAGCACTGTGGTAAAGCAGAGAACAGCTCAGTGCTTTTGGAGCCCCTTAGCCCTGTGAAATATTTCCCAAACRTGCTGCCCTCTGCCTGACTGGGAGAAGGGGACCATGATCTTGCTGCTGCATTTGCCTGGAGTATAAGACTGTGTGCCTGTGAATTCATCAGGGGTTCATGCAGGGTCTTGCTGGATTGGAAATATGAGGCTGCCCTAAGTCCTTTTGTTGTAGCAACTGCACACCGAAAACTCGCTGGAAAAATAAGTAATTGCCCTATTAGAAATCAGCAGGGAGCCCTGGAGAGAGCCCTGCTTTCCAGTTTCCATCCTAGCCATTAAAAAGGGAGCGTTTGTTTGTGAAGGAGTTCCTCTCCTCACAAGGTGCTTGCAGGCTCTGGTGATCTGTGCTGCTGCTGTGGCTCCTTGGAGTCCCTGAAGAACAGCCCCACGGAGAATCTGCCTCGCTGTGAAGCCTGAGTACATTTGGATGTGCTCTATTCTGCAGATTGCAAACCCACTGGACTAACRGGGAGGTTGGATCAGCCTTTTGCAACCACTGCCACCGTTTCTTGCKGGGGGGAGGGTGGAGTTTGTTGGTCCAGGATGGGCTGGAGCATTTGTGTGTGTTTGTGTGCACAGAGCAGCAGCGCAGAGCCGGCTGTAGGTCTGAGGCAGCAGTGAGTCCCCTGCAGCAGAGCTGATCTGTGCTTTGTTCTGTCCTTAAAACACCCATGAAAATATTTACTCTGAAGTGTCTCTAGAGAGCCATGAGACTGCAGAGCATTTTGCAAACCACAGAGCAGGAGCCTGCTGCTTCTGTCCCTGAAAAGCAGTGTCTCCTGCCGTGTACAATGCTGGGAATGGTGTCTGGGTGACCGTGGGGGTAGAGGGGAGTGGTGCATTCATAAGTACTGGAACAGGGKTTTTTTGTGCCCATGACTGCAAATAAACTATTAACTTTGGATGTTTCCTTTTCCTTCACCAAAAAGTGGGGAGTACTTCAAGGCAGCTTCTTGAGACACACAGATAGGAAAGTCCCTTGAGATAATTAAACATTATTACGGTTGGTTTTTGCTCAGATGGCACTCAGATGTGTGTGAGTACTCYTCAAGGTGCATCCTGACATCTTCCCAAGATGAGTAAGGAGGGAATTCCCATCACAGTGATGGGAAAGCCAGGGCAAGTTGACTTTGAACCTGTGGCCTGCTGATCTATGCAGACCAGCCCCAAAAAGAGTCCAACTTCTTCAAAGCCTCYGGAGATGCAGACCCYGTGCCCTCCCCAGCCCAACAACAGTGTATGAAATGATGTGCATGAGTTGTGCCAGGCAGAGAGGAGAAAGAAAGCGGGAAGTTGTATGGAGAATCTTGCCCACAACCAAAGCTCGGCAGCCACCAAATCCTACAGCCATGCCATGGCCATTGCCAGAGAAATTGATGTCTTGTTTAGACCACAGGAAATGCTGGATTTGGTGAGTAGAGATAAAAGTGGATTCATCCCTGCTTGGCCAAACCCACCTTAGGGTTCTGGCAGACTTTCCCATAGAAGACCCCTGCTTGTACATCCCAGAGCAGAGTTCCTGACTAGAAACCACTTTAGACCAAATAACAGGAGCCACTGGCAACACCCAGAGGGGTTTTTGCATGCTAAGCCTCTCAATATGCCATTGCTACATTGCTGGGGTAGATAGAGCTCTTGCTGCAGATATCTCACTGGGTATTGATGTACCACAGTAAATAAAAGCCTAGACAATGGGTTCCCTGTGAGGACTGAGGCTCTTTGTGTCTTCTTCATGCTCCCTTTGGAAGCTGCTCTAATCCTGCGTGCAATAAAGCAGCACCCACCAAATTTCAACTCTCTRTTGGTACCTTTGAGCACCTTTTAATACCTGTGAAATGTAAAATAAGCATTTGCTTTCTTCTCTCTTGGTGTGARAGGCTTCATGGAATGTTGGGCAAGTGTTGTGTGATTTGGGAAGGGATTTGAAGCTGAGCATAGAAGGGGAATTATTCTCAGGTGGATCCTTCRGAGTCTGGGGAGGGAGGTGAGGGGGGTGGTGGGATCTCTCTCTGCTGCAGGGAAGATGAGCTGCAGGGAAGATGATCTTTTTTCCCAGTCACTGCAACTTTCCCTATGCATTTTCAGCATCCCATAAAGGCCTTCAGATACTCCACCCTGTTCCATCTCCAGGGGAATTTCATCCCAGTTTGTACAACAGTTCAGCAGATTGGTACAGCTGCGTGCCTCTCTCCTCATCCTGAGCTGGCAAGTTCCCAGTAGCAGTCTTGGAGAACTTGGTGTGTACCAATTTCTCCTTCTAATCAGGGACATTTTTTCCAGGGTCACAGATGCCTTTTTTCTTAATTAGCCACTCTTAGGAAAATTGAAAAAAAGCCCTAAATCAGCTCAGGGAGGTGAATCTGGTATTTCTACCAATTTTCCTGTCTCTGAGCCCTTTCGCTGTAAATTTGCCACACTAAATGGTGTCGCAGCTCCAGATTTCTTGAGCCCCTAAGGAAAAWGCAGCACAGTTGGGTGGAGGAGAAGATGTGATCTCCACTGCCCCAGTGTGACACAACCAAGCTGAGTCCAGGACTTGTTGGGATCCTGGGATGGGTGACCCATGGCATACTCTCCAGCAGGGAACATCTCTGGAGATCAGACTCCTGTCGTTTCCTCTTGGGTCAGTGTAGAAATATGACCAGTCCTTGCTCCTGGCCTCTGCTCTGGGTGAAAGCTGATGGCTTTTGCTGCCTTCAGTGGTGTAGAGTGCTCCCAGAGCTGTCCCCAAGTGAAGGGACGGAGGAGGATGGTGGGACCTGTGTGTCCTGCCCCCAGTGCCAGTWGGAGCAAGTCCCAGGCCCAGCCAGCTGGAAGCTGTCACTGCCAGCTCTGGCTGACAGGCTGCCTCTGATCAATGCTGGGATCACTTCTAAGGCCACATTAATAGCGAGTTAATTATCACCATGGTCCTCTATGACAATTCATTAGGATGAGCTCCAGGGAGGAGGGAATCAATGGGCACTGGTGGAGGGCTGCCTGACCTTTCCTGGCAGTCTCCAGGGAGGACTCTGGGACACTGTTGTTAGTGCTCCTCTAAAACACCAAACCCTCCAAACATGGCTCATTTTCATGGCTTTGTCTGCTTTGCTTCTATTGATCCAGACAATTCAAGAGTGCCACTGAGCTTGCAGGGTTGATGGCATCATTAATATTTCAGTGCAGGAGCAAGAAGAGCTCTGGGCTGGTTCATTGCTGGTAGCTAAGGAGTCGGGGGGCTCTTCAGAGAGAATTCTCTCTGCACAGTTCCTACTTTGTGACAGCAGACCAAAAAATTAAAAAAAAAAAAAAAAAAAAAACAAAAAAAAAAAAACCAAAAAAAAAAAACCCAAAAGCTCTGTCAGTTTGTCAAGGGCCTAAAGCACAGTAAATAAAGGTGGTTTCAGCATGTCCTGTGACTTCCTGAAGAGCATCTTTGAAGTGCAGTATAGTTGTGTCCTCTCCTATCCCACCCCAACRCTCCCAGCTCTCCACAGGACAGGGATTATTTGTTGTGTTGGAACATAATTCAAACTCGCTTGGRCACCTTGGGCTTTTTGTCACTGAGCTCATGATCCTTTGGGAGCAGGTAAGTGAAGAAGCAGGGCTGTGGACATTCAGTCACATTACTGCTRCTGAGCAGGTCAGTGCTTGTCAGCCATCAGCTGCACACAGCCTGCCCTGGCCATGCAGTAAAACCACGTTGCCTTTACCCTCAGCAAAAGCTTCTTTTCCTTCTTCCATCAAATCACCTCCTTGTGCTTGCCTGGATGAGCRTGGTAGCTCTTGTCAGGGAAGAATGAAGACCTTGAGGGAGTAGGGATCCTGCTTTTCCCTCTTTTATTTAACAGGCTAGGTGGATGCAGAGTGTCTGCTGCCTGTTCACTGGCACCAGGGAGGTGAATGCAGCACTTGTTCTTGGGCCAGTCAAGTCACACCAGAACTGAGYAGGAGAATCAAAGAGGATGCCCTTTGTTAGTGACACCCTACTGACACTAAAAAAAAAAMCAAAACAAAAAACACGATCATAAAAATAACCACCCTGGTTAGACAAAGAACTCTTCTGCTCCACTAGCCTGGCTATAGAAGTAGATGGCAGCAGATGTCTGGTGCAGGGCTGTAAAAAAGCGGACAAGGATCTTTGACTCCATCCTCTAAGGGCCAGTGAAGTTTAAGCTATTCCAGTACAAGTTAATCCAGTCTGCATTGGTGCAACCACGTCCAAAATCTGGCCCCAGCAGACTGTAAACAAGTCTGCCCCCTTGTATTCTTCCTTGTCTTTGATATTGTCTGCATTAATTCCAGGACGAGAGTCAATCCCAGGAAGAAAAGGAATAATTTAGATTCATATGCCTCCTCTCTTACAGGTAATTCCAGACTGGAAGGAGCAGGAGTGGAACCCTGAGAAACCCGAGAGCTACGTGGGGATCTTCCACTTCCAATTCTGGCGTTTTGGTCAGTGGCTGGACGTGGTGATCGATGACCGCCTGCCCACCCTCCACAATCAGCTCATCTACTGCCACTCCAACTCCAGGAATGAGTTCTGGTGTGCCTTGGTGGAGAAAGCTTATGCCAAGTAGGTACCCAGACAGTTGTAGGATAAATGGGACCTGGGCACTCTGGTTTTCCTCTCTCTTCCTTCATCAGCTGGTTTGTAGCAGTGGAACTAACATCCTTCCTGTGGAGGAGTAGTACATAACTCAAACAGACATAAACTAAGGAAAAATCCTTCTCTAGCCCTAATTTACCCTCAAAACAAAATACYCTTTGATGTTTCTGTAAGTAAGACCTATTCTAGAGATTTCAAATTTCTTTTGCTTTGGTTCTGTGATGGCAAGAGTGCTGCAAGGAATGTGGGTCCTATTTTTTCACCCTAGTTTGCTGCCCTCTCCCACCTGAAGTTTAACTGCAGACCTCCATTCCTGAGGCTGCCCCAAGGATTGTCCCACACCTCTAAAAGTGTCAAGCCAGTGTTGTCGTGCCATCCCTGTCACCCTCTTTCAGGCTGTCAGGCTGTTACGAAGCTTTGGATGGAGGCAACACAGCAGATGCCCTGGTGGATTTCACTGGTGGGGTCTCTGAACCAATCGACCTGACYGAAGGGGACTACATCGCTGACGAAGCCAAGCGAAACCTCCTCTTTGAGCGGGTGTTGAAGGTGCACAACAGGGGAGGCCTCATCAGCTGCTCCATCAAAGTAAGCAGCATTACCTGTATGGCCACAATCCCATGGGATAGGCRTTTCAGGATGCAGTTGTCCTACACAGTCATAAACTTCTTAATTAGTCAGAGAAATTGTGGCCAAGGGTTCCAACTTCTTGATGGTGGTAAAAGGAGTGAATCCTGAATGCCAACCCCTTCTATTCCTTGTTGCTGTGTCCAAGGGCCCAGATTCATCCCAGCACCCTTTAAATGCTGTGAGGGGACCCATTCTGGAAAATAAGCATTTTGGTGTCTGCTKCTGGGCATCTACAAATGCTGGTTGCCAGACCTCCCAGTACAACCAGTAGGGTGGGTTTATTGGTTGCCTGYGAGAGCTCAGAGACCTCATGAGGCAGATGAAGAAAAGGAGGGATCCAGCACATAAAATGGCATCTGAGAAATGTGCCAACTGGCTCTTTCCCTGACCATCGATGCTATTTTTTTTGGCTGAAAGAAACCTGCAGGGAAATCTGAGTTCMTYTCTTTCCCAGCCCCTGAAAGGCGGTCACGTCCCCCTGGTCTGAGCCCTGTGTGTCCCCCTGCCAGGCCACGTCGGCGGCTGACATGGAGGCTCGGCTGGCCTGCGGGCTGGTCAAGGGCCACGCSTACGCGGTGACGGACGTGCGCAAGGTGCGCCTGGGCCACGGCCTCCTGTCCTTCTTCAAGTCGGAGAAGCTGGACATGATCCGCATGCGCAACCCGTGGGGCGAGCGGGAGTGGAACGGCGCCTGGAGTGACACGTGAGTTGGGATGGACAGCKCTTTCAGKGGGGAATTCCTCCCTGTGAGGGTKGTGAGGCACTGGCACAGGTGGCGCAGAGAAGCTGTGGATGCCCCATCCCTGGAAGTGTTCAAGGTGAAGTTGRATGAGGCTTTGAGGAAGGGSCCMCTACTCCTGGCAGGGGGGCTGGAACAAGGGGATATTTCARGTCCATTCCAACCCAAACCATTCAGTGATTCTGTGATTCAGTGCTTGTTCCTACTAGTGAATGATTTTTATTGCTCACCTTTCTGCTCCCAGTCTTATTCCAGCAAAACGAGCCCCCAGCAGAATCCACTTCTGCTGCCACTGACTCTGCTGTGATGTCTGTGCATGAGATGAGGAGCCAAGGGCTGGTGCAACCAGAGCCTTTGGCCAGTCAATTTTGTTACCTTTACAGATAGGGCTTTGTACTGGCCAAAAAACCCCTTGTCAGGCTGGGTTCAACTCCACTATTCAGGATCGAAGTTGAAGTTCCAAGCCGTGCTGCAGTTCTCCCATGTTTGGAAGATGATCTAACCAGAGCAGCATGGGGACTGGCTTTACACAGTTCTTAAGCCTCAAATTCCTGTGTGTCCCTTACCCACAAGTAATGATCCTGTTCTCTTCCCTCAGCTCTGAAGAATGGCAGAAAGTGAGCAAAAGTGAGAGAGAGAAGATGGGAATGACAGTGGAAGATGATGGAGAGTTTTGGTGAGTCCCTCCTGGGGTTGTCACCATGGGCCATGCCCACAGCATCTTTCCACCCCATGGAGCATGTGCATCATTCCCATGCATACAGTAATCCAGAGAAAACATGCATACAGTAATCGGGAGAAAACAGCCTTCCAAGTCATGGGATCTCAAGTGAAGCCCCTTCCTTGGGCCTGTGGGTGTTAGCTTTGGGTGGCCATGACCCTGGGATTGCAAGCTGCTCTGTATCACACTGGGGCTGAACCATTTCAGCAGGCTAMTGAGAACCTGTCATAGATGTGCTGAACTTCACAGCCTCACGTTCCTACCAGGAACATTTCGGTACAACATTTACCCTTGTGTGGAGAAAGGGMCACTGTGCTGCTTCTCCCATTCCCAAACACAGGGATCTGTTGTTTAAACTCAAAAACTATTTACTGCAGGCATAGAGAAAGGTATCTCCATCTCTTTTGGAGATAATTGATCAATAACTTTTGTTATTCATCAGCCATCAGAGACAATCCATGCTCTCTAACAGGTGACCAAGAAGATCMCTGCAGTGTACTTTTCCAGCAGCATAACCCAGTTCTGCCCTTTCCTGACTCAGGATGACTTTTGAAGATTTCTGCARATACTTCACGGACATCATCAAGTGCCGCATGATCAACACCTCCTACCTGAGCATCCACAAGACCTGGGAGGAGGCAGTGCTACAYGGAGCATGGACCAGAAGCAGTGACCCCTTGAAGAACCGCTCTGGAGGCTGCATCAACCACAAGGACACCTTTCTGCAGAACCCCCAAGTGAGTAATGGGGCAGAAGGCCTTCTGGAGCCTTCACATGTGTTCCGAGGGTTTAATTCTCCTGCAGGGACCTAGAAGGCTGAAATGGCTWCCAGGCCTCTAATGGATTATTTGTGCTTATGACCATTTTCTGGCACAGCATGACCAGCATYGAGGCCAACTCTATTAACCTTATCCCTCTTATCAGGGAGACTGCATCCAAGTGCTTGGTGTAGAGCCTCTTGGCACAAGCAGAAAACAGACTGTGCCACAGGGTAGTAATGTTGGCTGGTTCCAGTCAAACAGGGCCAGAGTAATTTCCAACAATCTGGATGGCTGAATTATCAAATTCCAGGTTTTTTGCCCAAATTTTGGCACTGTTAAATTTACTAGGGCAGGTGTGGCCCACAAGGCCATTTCCTTCTAGCTTGAAGTTCATCTCCTGGAACAAACTTAACTGGAGAAAAGGAGGCTGATGGGGAACTTATGGCTCTCTACAAATACCTGAAGGAGATCTTGTCCAGGTGCGGGTCCCTTCTCCCAGGTAACAAGTGGTAGGATGAGAGAAAACAGCCTCAAGTTGTGCCAGGGGAGGTTTGGATTGAAAATTATGGAAAACTTCTTCACTGGAAGGGTGAAGACATTAGAAGAGGCTGCCCAGGGCCATGGTGAAATCTGGAAATGTTTCTGGAAGTGTTCAAAAGACCTGTGGGTATGGCACTTGRGGACGTGGTTTAGCAGTGGAYTTGGCAGTTCTGGGTTAAGGGTTGGGCTGGCTAGAGGTCTTTTCCAGCATTAATGATTCTACAGTTGTCTTGTCCTGCTCTGAAGTGTGATTCTCAGTGTCACAAGTGAGGTCCTTGTGAGTCCTTCATCTAACAAGCAGATGAAGGATGGTCTGGTCTATTCCAGGAGTTGTCACCAAGGATGTGGGAGAGTAATTTCCACCTTCCRGCTCTGTAGTAGCCTTCATCTTAGGTCTCTGAACATCAGTTSTTCCTTCCATGCCCTATAGGAGGACTTCTGGCAGACTGCAAGGGGTGAGTCTCTGGTATGAGACTACATCCAGACTGCTTGGATTCTGCTGAGCAATTCAGAGATTGGATTTCACASTATTTCTCTAAAGATAAGCCAAAAACATCCTTGACTTGTCAAGTTGCTGCCATTTCCCAAGAGGAGGGGGTATGGCCTCTCAGTGTGTGTACTGAAGCCAGGCTGTCCCTSCATGGAGGTGGATGGGGAGAAACTGATGTTCAGTCTGTTAAATCCACCCCCACCCATGCCCAGGGATCCTGGACATTTATAAAAATCCTGTATTAATAAATATCTCCCTTACCTTCCTCTCTTTGCTTCCAGTATGTGTTTGATGTGAAGAAGGCAGAAGATGARGTGCTGATCTCCATCCAGCAGAAGCCCAAAAGGACGAGTCGCAAAGAGGGCAAAGGAGAGAACTTGGCCATAGGCTTTGATATCCATAAGGTGGGCTGGGCTCCTGCATGTTGGCCTCAATGCCTCTGTGAACTKGGTGGTGGTGGAGTGGTGCATCAGTCCTGCATGACCTTATCGTTCATTTTAGCGTTATCTGGGTGCTTCTGGGGTGCCATCAGCGCGGCCTGCTCTCCTCTTGAGATGAGGAGGAATATCAGAGGGGACAGCATGGACAGCAGGTTGCCCAGAGAAGTTGTGGATGCTCCATCTCTGRGAATGTTCAAGGCCCTGATGGATGTGGCTTTGAGTAATGTGTTCTAGTAGGAGCTGTCCCTTCCTGTGGCAGGAGATTGAAACTATTTGATCTCGAAGGTCCCTTCCAGCCCAAACCATTCTAYAATTCTGCGYAGTTCTTGCCAAAAGCAGTGATTAGTCTTTTCTCTCCAARTRTTGAAATCTKTTAGACCAAACATTATGTGTTGTCTTCTGGGTCCCCAGTGTTAATCTGAGATGCAAGAGATGAGTCCCTGAGCCAAAAGAGCTGGGACAGCCATGTCCACACTTGTTTTCCACCCAGCACAGTTGGGACCATTTTGCAGACTCTTGTAACTCCAGGTCTCCTGGCACTGTGAACTCAGTCCTTGCAGTCTTTCCCCCCTCCATGGCGGATACCAGTACCTTTTCAGCCAGTGCCAATCCCCTGACCATCCCAGTGTGGTCTCTGCCCAGGTGGAGCTGAACAGGAACTACCGGATGCACACCCTGCAGCAGAAGGTGGCCAGCTCCATCTACATCAACTCCCGCAGCGTCTTCCTGAGGACCGACCTGAAGGAAGGCCGCTACGTCATCATCCCCACCACTTTYGACCCTGGTCACGAAGGCGAGTTCCTTCTCAGGATTTTCACAGACGTGCCTTCAGACTGCCGGTAAGGAGCAGGAGCAGTGATGGGGAGGAATTGGCTCGTTGCAGACAGCTCTGTGCTTTTGATCTGTGGTTTTCCTCAATGCTCACAGCCTTGCCTGCAACTCTGTTTGGCTTTCTGTTAAGAGACGGGACACCTTTACATGTTTCTYCACAGACAGGCAGAGAAGCTCCCACTCTGCTTCTTAGCATGATATGGGAGATCATCCCAAACCCGGGCTGAGCAGATTGGAGTGGAGAGCAGAGCCTGACAGTGGACAGTACATAGTCACAGCATCACAGAATATTCTGAATTGCAAACGATCCCTAAGGATCATCCAATGGTCATTGAGTCGAACTCTTAAGTGAATGGCCTGTATAGTCCTTCATCATGCCAGAGCAACCCCTTTGGGGTAAGATTGGGCACCTCTCAGTGTTTTTCCTGAAGCCACGTGTTTTTCCTTGCAGAGAACTGACATTGGATGAGCCACCACACACCTGCTGGACTGGGATGTGTGGCTACCCACAAGTAGTRTCCCAGATCCATGTCCTTGCTGCAGCTGGGCTCAAGAATCAGGACACCCAAGGAGGTACTGGTCTTTCCCGGCCTGTTGCCTGGCCCCAGAAGAGTTGGGAGGTGGTTTATGAAGTGGAACATTGATGGGATTCATGTCCTCAGATTTTTTTTTTCAGTGAACATGCCTGAGTCAGGCACCAGAGGAGGAGTAAGTCCAGGGAGAATCAAATTCACTTCTTGCAGTGGACATGTCCTGAGAGCTGTTATATTTAGGCTGTTRTCTGAGGTCCTCCCAAAACTTCTCCAAAGCCCATAGCAGTGGTCCTGGAACAACCAAAGCTTTCCTCCCAAGTGTGAGCAGCTTAAAAGTCAGGAATTGTATTTAAAGCCTTTTAAGTAGGAAGGGCAGAGAAAGTGCCTGAGGTGTCATATTAATCACTGGAGGGTAGATAAATGCCTTGTCAATAGAGGGTGTGTCAAATTTAGCTCACTTTGGGATGGCATGGATATAGATCTGTTCTGGCATCATCACTTTTCCTGCATGGAAAATGGCRGCAGGAACATACCTGTGTCCTGCAGCCACACAGAGGCTCATTATGAGAGCCCCATGTTCTGTCTGTTGGAGCATCTGGACCAAGGAACCCAGGGGCAGTGATGGCTTGTGCTAGGAGATTGTTAAAATTGGGATGAAGGTCTAGAGGTTGCCATCAGAGAAGCAAATACCTTTCCACCATGGAAACAGAGCAGATCCTAGCCTTTCTCACCCATTTCCCGAGTCAAGGACATGAGGTGATTGTGGCAAGATTTAGCCAAACACTTTCAAACCACATTTAAAATATAAAAATTGAAAACTTAAAAAATATAAATAAAACACAGTTTAAATTATACTTTTTTTTCATCCAAGAATTATTATCAGGCCTGCCTGTAACTACACCCTTGAAAGTAACGAGCGGGATCTTTTGTAAGCAAGGACTACAAATGTGCTTATTAATCGCATGCCACAAAGCGAGTCCTTATACCCTTGTCTGGTGTTTGGGGAGGGAATTTTTCTCCAGGCAGGTGTTCTTTTTCTTGGGTTGTTCACAACAGGTCATCTGTAGCAATGCAGGGAAATCTGCATAGCCAAAGKTCTCTGAACTGTTCACAGAAACAAGGAGGTTTGTCTTTGCCTCAGACAAGAAGACGTGTGGATTCTGGAGTCATAAAACACTTTTTCCACAAAAACACTTTGGGAATTGCTTTCTTCCAGCTGTTTTCCAGCTGTTCAGCTCCCATCACCAACAGCGTGTTTGGTGTTTTCCAATGCAGTGGCATTTCTCAAACATCCCAGCCCAGGCCTTTAGCACTACTTTGGAAATAGTGATTTACAGATAGGAATTTGGCTCTGGCTGATGGAATATCAGGATGTAATGGGACATCCCAAAAGATAAGGTAATTTGGAAACACAGCTGTGAAATCCAGCAGCTGTGTCTCACCAGGGGAGCCAGGTCCTTGCAAACAGAAAGCTAGCAAAGAGGTGGTCTGCCTGTCAAAATCCCTCACCCTCAGAAGGGGCTGGGGTGTTCCTCCTCATTTCCACATTTCCCTTGGACAAGAAAACTCATCCAACTGGTCTGTGTTTCCATCATAGCCACTAAAGCTCATGGTAAGAAAATGCATTCTGACATTTAAATGTCCATAGCAATRGCTCTTTCTCTACTGAAATTCCCAAAATAAGCACTTGCTTGGCAAGATGAAAACATTCACTAATGAGGGACTCTTTCCTTCTCCTGGAAGCTCAGCTGTGGGCTGGTAACATGTGAACTTGGTAACTTTATCTTCATCTGGAATTTCCTTGTGTGAGCATCTTTCTCTTCTCCAGAGAAGGGGAGCCTCTAGGGTAGCAAATCCTGAAAGGAGGGTTGAGTAGGATGGTCATCTTCCATGGAAGATTTACTACAGTGGTCAGGAGGATTTGTAGTGATGAGGGAATTTTTCTGTAGAATCTGGGGACAAGAGAGGTGCCATTTCATGGAATCATAGAATGTTTCAATTGGAAAAGCCCTCTAAGGTCATCGAGTCCAACCCTTAACCCAGCACWGCAAAGCCCAACACTAAATCATGTTCCCAACTGCCACATCTACACATCTTTTAAATCCCTCCAGGGATGGTGACTCCACCACTGCCCTGGGCAGCCTGTTCCAGTGCTTGACAACCCTTTTGATGAGCAAGTTTTTCCTAACGTCCAGTCTCAACTACCCAAGATGTAATTTGAGGCCCTTTCTTCTTGTCCTGGTGYTTGTTTCCTGGGAGAAGAGACCAACCCCCACCTCATTACATCTTCCATTCAGGCAGTGGTAGAGAGTGATAAGGTCCCCCCTGAGCCTCCTTTTCTCCAGGCTGAGCCCCCCAGCTCCTTCAGCTGCTCCTTATCAGACTTGTGCTCCATCAGACCCTTCCCCAGCTTCATGGCAGTTTGTCAGCATTTGCTGCCCAGGGACAATGTCACCGAATAGAATTAAACCTGAGCCAAACAGCTGAGCTCCATGGGCACCATCTGRGGTGTGACAAATGCTTTGGCAGATACCCATCTCCTCTGGTGGACCAGGGAGGCAAAGTACTGTGTGACACCCCTGGAAAAGGAATTTCAGAAGCTGCARCAAAACAAAAATTCCCTTTTCTCTCCTCAGGAGCTGACCCTTACGTGATCATCAAGTGCGAAGGGCAAAAGGTTCGCTCTCCGGTGAAGAAGAACACGGTATCACCAGAATTCGATGTGAAAGGGCTCTTTTACCGAAAGAAGCCAGGACAGCCCATCATTGTTCAGGTACCTGTCAGGCAAGCAGTGGGCTGAGGGATGGAGACCCTCTCTCACTTGGACCCCCTCCCCTTTCCACACTGTCCACAGCAGATGTGTTCCCCAGGCTGAGCATCATTAGTTAATGCAGCTCAACCTCTCACCAGCACAGTGACATCTGGCAAAGGCATATCCTTCATGCCTCTCACTTCCAGAGTGCCACTCCCACTCCTCACCACCTCCCTGGCTTCAGCTCAGGGCATGTCCCCAGTAACTCCTTCTCTGCAGTTCATGAAGGGTGGCTGTATCCCTGATGGAGCTGCTCTCATCCCTGTTTTGTTCCCGCAGATCTGGAACCACAACTTGCTAAGTGAYGAGTTCTTGGGCCAGGTGGTGCTGACGGGGGACCCCAGTGACCGGCAGTCGGTGCACACGCTGCACCTCCAGGACAAGGGCAACAGGAGGTCCAACGATCTCCCTGGAACCATTGCTGTCATGCTGCTCAGCAGTAACATCCTCACCAATGTCTGAGTGCTCAAGGACGGCTCCTCCGGTGCCACTATGTGAATATAAACATGCACACATACATATATATGTAGAGAGAGAGACACACAGCCTTCCTGCCATCTGCAAAGTGTATATGAACCATGCATGCATTCCACTCCAAGGAGCCAATCTTGTGTTTTCAATGTTAAAAAATGGTGCCTTTTTTGGGGGGAACCGCAACGATCCTTCTGCTGGCGTCCTCTGCAGCCCCCCGGCTGCCACGAGCGCTGTGGGACCGCTGTGAGCACGCTGTGTGTCCTGACAGCCGGAGCACGGGGCCCTGGGGCTGTTTGTTTACACAGGCTGGCACGCACACGTGCCACCACGCACACGTGTGGCCACCGCGGTCCCAGYGGCTGCTTCTTCAGTGTGTCTGCTTGGGTTAAGAGTAGTGTGCATGGAGTTGTCTCCCTTGAAATTGCCGTGTAACTGCTTATCTGTGGAGGCACCACAGCCAAGGAGGAGTGGCAAAGCTGATCGGGGCCTGGGAGATGTTTTTTGGGTGTGGCTTTGCATACTGCATCTGCAAGGAAAATGCACCAAGGCAGCCCAAATCCCAGATCCGCAGGGGCAACAAGACCAAAGGCTCTATCATTTTGGGGAGAAGTGTCTCCACCCGAGTCTTGTTCAACCCCACACAACTCTAAAGGATACAAAGGTGCCAAGAGCTGTGGGATAACTGTTCTCTGGGGTCAAGTTTCTGAACCAGTCTGGACCCTGCTCCTGTGTGTGCCTCCTGAATTCCTGTGGTGCCTGTTGTCTCCACGTCTCCATGCCATCCCCGTCCCAAGAGCTCGCTGGGCTGGAGCAAGCTGAGTTGTCTGCTGGGGCAGTTCAGTGTTTAGGTAAGAGAAGATTGGTTCCTCTGAAGGCCAAAGTGTCCAGTTCAAGGGATGGGAAGCTTCGCTCCGTGGGCTCCATCTGTACTGCTGCCTACAGTGCATCATTTCTCAGTGCCTCGCTTTCTCAAATTCTTTTTAAAAATAGTGGGATTTTAGCATGTASTAGAGAAGCACTGCTCCCAGTGCAGCCTGAAAATTCTGGGAATATTTGATTCATTCCAGTGTCCATCTCTCACCTTTAATTTCYAGTCTGCTATCGTGGAGGGTGAGTTGCACAGTCCTAGAGCCAGTCTCACGAGCACAGCCTGAATGCATCCTTGGGGACGTGTCTAGGGCCACAGTCTGCTCCTGATTTACATGAAAACTGGGTTAATCTTTTTTATTCCACTGGGTGGCAGAATCCRGCTTCTTATAAACCATCCCAGATAAGCCAAACAACAACCCGTTGTCTGGCCTTTCAGCAGCTGATTAGGACAGGCTTCAACCCCTTTTTTTTTTCTCCCGTTGTTTGGGGGTTTTTATTCATGTGCCTTTAAAGTGGTGCAAGTTAAGGGATTTTTCAGTCAGATTTTCTAACAAGCAAATATTTTGCAGTCAGCTGCATGCAAGTGAAAGGAAATTRATACATATTATACAATCTTTGAATCTTGGTACATTTTGGCCTGAGCTGAGTCCTTTTCYTGCTAAAAAAGTGAACAGGAAAGCCTTCTTTTGCCATAGCAAAGAGTTTCTCCTTGTCCTACTGAACACTCACATTTGTCCTGCMAGTCTGTTTGGGTTTTTTGTTTAAGTCATTAGAGGTCTGCTACRTCTGAAACATGGTACAGTGTTCCCCAAAGTCACAGTACCTGCTAGCTCAGTTCTTGGTGCAACCAGAAGCAGATGGTGCAACTGCGTGGATTTTTGCAGGCTGCTTTTCCCCTTTCCTCATCTTCACAGTCTACCTCCTGCAGCTATRAGTTGGCTTTATGGCCAGATTTGCTTATCTTCTTAGGTCTTGAATTTCAGGACTTAAAGGCGAGAGGTAGTCCCCATGATGCTCTTTCCACATCTCAATTATTCCTGGCTTGCACCCTCCAACTCCAGGTGCCATCACTGGGACCAAGTTTAGTTCAGCATCTTGCAGAATTGACTTAAGAGCTCCCAGTTAGGTAAAGAAACCTTTTGATCCCAAGGTCAAAGCAAATTTGGGAAGAMCAATGCAGAGATATTTTGATTTTATCCTAGTTTTGTTTATGAGACTCATCAGTGAAAGTAAATGAAAGCAGGATTGTGGGGCTGGAAGGTATGATTTGGGTGTTTGGAGAAGATCTCACTGGCTAATGCTCAGAGTGATGGGGGAGARGGATGCCCAAAGATACCTCACCTGGTAGGGGGGTGAGCTATTTGGCATTGCAGGAGCGTGAGAGGAGCTTTGTACCCTCATCAACAGATRGAGGTATCCAGCTGCCTGCATTAGCCTGGTTTTCTTGGGAAGATGGGCTATGGASAGCTGTTTGGCCAAGAGTGCCCTGCCACATGCCAAAGGCACCGTGATCCCCAAGGAGTGGTGCCAAAGCTCACCAAGGAGTTGTGGRGCCCTGGTACCCCAGGGAACCTCCTTCCTTCCTACAGAGAATCAAGCCATAAAGAGAGGAAAGGCAGCTTTTTAACAGCTTCTTAAAAAAAAAAAAAAAAATCACTCTATATCAGGACCAAATAGTCTTAATATCAGTAATATTTGTCCTTTTTTTTTTTTAAAAAAAAAAAAAGCTTTGGAAAAGTTCGAGCAAAAGCCTTCTTTCCCTACATTTCCAATGGAATAACAAAAATTACCTTTCTTACTCTTCTTTTTGTCTTATTTGTAGAATGGATGAGGGAGGAGAGTTATTGAAATGCCATTCTTGTTTTTGATGCCTTTTCTCTTTGAATGAAGTAACCAGAAACATTCAGGGTTTGKTTTTTTTTTTATTTTCTGAGAGGAGKGCAGGTCTGATAGGCCCTTTCCAGTCCCTCATGAGTGGGGTAGGCCATGTGTCTGATTTATTTCACATTTCTTTTGTTAATCATTTCAATGGTTGCAAGCAGCCTGGCGTTACACTCTGTGGAATCCATTTCTTTAGATATCAGCCTGTTAAAGCAGGCTGTCTTCATCTCCAAAGTCGCTGACGTGTCGTGCTGCACAAGATCAGARTGGTCCAAGCAGAAAGCCAACATTGTACAGCTGTAAACCTCCTATAAATAAATAAATTGTGTATATTTTATTCAGACTCCTTGCCTTTGAACTGCTGTGTTCTTCCAGAAGGYTTTTGATGGGCACAAGGTGGCTCTGCAGAGCCTTTGGAATTTGCTYGATTCACCAAACTCCATTCAAATTGTTTTCTCTGTGGACTTTGAGACTGAGGCAAAGTGATCTGCAGGAGGCTTTCACACAAGGCTGCACTCACATTCACTGAGAAAATCCACAGAGGGGATGGGTAACCTGCTCTGACTATAAACCTTTTCATACTATACCCCAGACTCACCACAGTGCAGGGAACTTGGGTTTTTGAGCCTCACCTGACCTGGAAAAGAGCTCTGCAGATTGCTGAAAGAAATAAAGGAGTGGAGGGAGAGTTATAGACAAAGTRAAAGGAAAAAGTGGGTTTTGGACGGCTTTCCCTGAGAGAACAAGCCTGTACAATGCACCTGGGGAGCATTGGAAGAGCCTGGCCCTGCCCATGGCCATCACCAGTCTTGCTGCTGTAACACAAGAACCCAAAGCACTGCTGCTGGATCCTGCCTCCATCTCAGCTTCCCTCCACCAGCTGCCTCTGCTCAGTCTCTGCAGCATGAAGGAGCTGTGTGCTTCTGCAGCCCACCCTCRAGAGCCTGGAGCAGACATCTGGAAAAATCCCCTTTTATTGTGGAGTGAGGGTAACTTCCCAGACCCTCCAGCTCCTGCGATCATCCTCTGGGACAAAATGTGTCACCATTAGATAGAGAAATGAGCATGCTATTCCTCTGCCTCTATCACTGAAATACCTTGCAAGGAGTTTTCTTCAGGGGCAAACCTCACAAACACCTTAGTCCCTCAAACATGCTAATATTCTCCTGGCGGGTCTCCCCAGTAGACCCTGCTGGGCACCTATGGGGCTGTGATATTGTTGCTGGACACAGCACAGGAGCTCTGGTGTAGACCAGGTGGCTTTACTGAGTCCTGCTCTGTGCACATTAAAAAAAAAAAAAAAATGTCAATGCAAGCCTGGATAAGCCACAGAGSATTGTGTAGGAATGGAGGTTTCCTTTCCCACCAACATCCACACCTCAGTTTTGCTGGCATTGGGGCAGTGGGCTGAAAAGTGTAGTTTCCTTTGTAGCCCTGCCTGTGTCTGCTGCTGATGCACACCAGCTTGGAGAAAGGGATGCTGGAATTGGTGTGGGACCCCAGCACATCAGTGTGGAGATGTGGGGACATTGTGCACGTTTGGAGACCAGCAGCAAGCAATGCRTAGTGCACAGCTCCAGGCAGGACCCAGCCCAGGCTCACCAAGGGTCCTGCAGTATCTCCTTATCCCTCCAGCATGGCCATTTGACAGGGATTTCTGCTCACAAACGTTAAGTATAGTTTTTATAGGGGACTTTTTAAAGGACTTTTTGTAAGGACATGTTTTGATAGAACAAGTGGGRAATGGCTTTAAAGTGAAAGAGAGTGGGATTAGACAAAACAACTGGAAGAAACTCTTTCCTCTGAGTGTGATGAGGCACTGGCACAGCTTGCCCAGAGAAAYTGTGGATGCCCCATCCCTGGYRGTGTTCAAGGGCAGATTAGATGGGGCTCWGAGCAACCTGGTCTAGTGGAAAGTGTCCCTGCCCATAGCAGGGGGRTTGGAACTGGATSAYCTTTAAGGTGCCTTCCAACCCAAACYACTSTGTGATTACACGATTCTGTGATAGATGGGCAATTCAGAGTCTGCCTTTGACCTGAAAGAGCWTCTTTGTGGAGTAACAGACATCCATTCTGTGGCTGAAAATTGATGCTGAAATATTTCTTCTTGCAGCTGGATCCCCTTTAGTCACCATTGTCCACCCGTAATGCCTGCATACATTCCCTCCCACATGAGCTGTTCAAAAGGATTTCCAGCAGGAAAAGCTCCAGAGGTGGAAGGGCCTTCAGCAATAGGATGAGTTCATTGCCTGTCCCTCAGAACTGTTCAGGTGCTACCACATGCTTGGCCAATAGCCCAGGGGTTAAATACCCAGGGATTGGCCACTGGGCTCTGTTCTGAGCACTTGTCTGAAGGTTCCCTGCACKGTTCAGATCCCACCTCCAAACCCCGTGGTGCAGAAAGGAAGGTGTCCAGCCCTGTCTGCCTTTCCTCACTGCCTTTCCACACAGCCATGGGTCATGGTGGGCACCAGGAAGGGCTGCCCAAGCCTGGACCCTTCCCAGGCACAGGCAGTGTCTGCCCTCACATCCACACCAAAACTGCATCGACACAGTGAGGAGGGCTTGAGTGAAACTGGCCATAGCCCCAGGGGGTCACAAATCATCTGTCCTGGGCTTCAGGTCAGCTGAGTCTGTTCAGGCTGCGGGCTGGGCAGCAGCAGGCTGTCTCCAAGGGCTGGGGAAGGGCCCAGGTGACTGTGCTGTGACTTCTAATTCTTGAGCAGAGTTCCTGGTTGGCTTTGAAGGAAGGAGGCTTCCTCTTATTGCKCCATACTCCTGAAGTATCACCAAAAAAAATGCATTCATCCATGTCTCCAGGAGGATTTCCAGCCCCCTCGTTCCTAAGTGGAGCTTAGAAACAACTTTTATGATAACGATGCAAATAAAAAGGTGTATTTTGCACCTTTTCCTAGCTCAGATGACAAGTTTTATACCTAAGTAAGAAACTTCCGTGGTGTTTCTTAGCACAATTAAAATCCAACCCCACCTTTCTCAGCAGGAAGGAAAAAAGGCACTACTCCAGATTTGGGAAGGGAGTCACCAGGTCAGAGTTAAGCTTCTAGGCAAAACCTCAGCTCTGAGTTTCCCAGTCCTCGAGTGTTTTCCTGTTCCAGTTTCCACATTTACAAGTGCACAGGGTTGGGGCATTCAAACCAGGATGCCTGTCAGCTCCTGGCCTCACCCCACAGGASCTCAGTACAGTCCCTTGCACAGCCTGGAGACCTCTGCACAGGGGACAAGGACTCTTCCAGCCACTCTTCATCTCAAGAATCCATCAGGGCTCTGCACAAGGACTTCAAACTGCAGCTAAATTAGCAGCAGGGATCTTCATGTGTGCCATGAAGGCATTTTACATAATCAGATAGTGACAGGAAAAGGGGGTATGGTTTTAAACTTAAAGAAGGGAGATTTAGATTAGCTATTAGGAATAAATTTTTTATTGTGAGCGTGGTGAGGCACTGGAACAGCTGTTTGCCCAGAGAAGCTGTGAATGCCCATCCCTGGMAGTGTTCAAGGCCCGGTTGGATGGGGCTCTGAGCAGCCTGGTCTTGTGGAAAGTGTCCCTGCCCMCGGGASGGGATTGGGACTGGGCGATGTTTAAGGTCCCTTCCAGCCCAGGCCGTTCTGTGATTTGATGGTACCATGACCCGGGGCAGACTCCAGGGATGGGGGAGGACGCATCTTTGGAGACTGGGGCTGCTGCGGGAGCGCGGCGCTTGCGGGTCCCCGTCCGGAGGTACCACACGCAGAATCAGAATCAGAATCAGAATCAGAATCAGAATCAAAATCAGAATCACAATCACAATCACACAATCAATCACGCTCACAATCACGCTCACAATCACACTCACACCCACCCACACCCCCACACCACACCCCCACCCACAGCAGGGGCTGGCTGCAGCCCGGCTCCTCCCCCGCTAAGAGGCTCAGCCCGGGCAGGCGCTGCCCTCGCTCGGTGCTGGAGGCTCCGCGCTGGGCACCGCTGCCCCGTCCCCGCCGCCGTCCCGGCCATGCCCCGCTAAGGTAAGGCGGAGCGGGGACAGGCGGCACCCGGGGAGCCGGGCGGGGGCTGGGGRTGCTCGGAGCGGGTGCGGTTCGGTGCSATSGGGGTGCTGRGGATGYGGTGGGGCGCGGTGAGGTGCGGGGMTGGGATGGATGGGGGTGCCCCCGCCGGGCTGCGGGCAGAGAGTCGCATCAAACCTGGGGAGAGGCTGSGCTCGATGGGAGGGGGGAGACGGCACGACCGCAGACCTGCAGGCAGTGCCCGGCAGCCCCGAGCCGGCTCGGCTCCTGCTGCATGGATTAGCGGCTCGGTAATTTCAGGCTGCTGCTTAATTTGGCTGGGGTCACCTAGCAGTGAGCTGGAGTGAAGGGTGGAGGGCATTGCCCTCCTGTGCTGTGTTGTCCAGCCCTTCGCCCCTTTTGAACACCCCGTTTGCATTCAGGGATACCTCTGGAAGTGCTGAAACGTGGGGAGAGGCTGTGGGGGATGTCCCTGCTGCATGGATCCATTGGCAGCGGCACAAGACCCCAGGTATCCTGCCAATCCACCTCACCCTCTCCCTGCTTTCACGCAGCTCCAAACACACCGTTTGGGAGGATAAAGCACAGCCTGCTCTCAGGCAGGTGCGTCTCTTCAGGGAACAGCAGGAGTTTTCCCTGGCTGCAGTGTGGCACAGCTTGTGCCCAGGCTGGTTTTGGGGATGCTCCCTGAGTTACACCGGTGCTGGTAAGCAGCACCCAGAACCTTCCAGGCTATTTAAATTATGAGGACCATCCMTGGGAAAGGACTGAGAATTGATACGGGATAGGCAATACCCACAAAGCAGTTCGTATTTTGCTGCCTGGTTTGGGAGTATGATTATTTGTACATGGGCTGTGCTGGACCAGCTGAGCACAGTACCAAGGAAATGTCCCAGGATATTTTACAATTACGTTATCCTAAGAAAAGTGGAACAGTGGAGCTGACATATCTCAGTGTTTCTGGGAAGAGTGGGGTATATGGTGGAGGATCATGTCCATCATGTCAGCGAGGGTCATGCAGGCAACATGGAGGGGGAGTTTGAAAGGCAGCACACCAGTGTGTCTAAGATTGCCTGCTTGMCCCTCGCTGTTGAACCTCCCCTGCAGAAGGAGCTGGCAGAAGCTAGCGATGATTTTCTCACAGCCCTCGGCTGTGTCGTGTTGGTGTGAATGCTTCTCTCCATTGTTCTGAGCAAAAGGATGTCCAAGAGCCAGGGTTAACCTGTTTGTTACACAAAGATAGCAAGGACGTGGCTGTTGCAAGCTGACTCCCACCCATCCTCCACTGWAGGATTTAGGATGCTATGAGGCTTACTCTTCCCATGAGGGGGGAATGCAAGATCCCAGCACTGGTGGTGTGAAGGTATGGAATGGTTTTGCAGYTTGGGGCTGAGCTTTGCCAAAGCTTCAGTCAAAACCTGTGAAGTCTCCCCCTGCCCTGTGCCCAAACTGTCCCAGGGACAGCCATAGAGGGACAAAGGTAGAAAATATCAAGACACCACTTCCCTCTTGTTCTTTGGTAGTCCAAATTATTTTCACCTGTGGCTTTGCAATCTCTGAGCCCTGACAATTCCCAAATATGTGTGTCTAAATTGTGTTTAACTTCGTGGTGATAGCCTGGTGACAAACTGCCCTTCTCTCCCTGACCTCTTCRAAAGCTTTGAACTTCTGTAAAATTAAGATGTAGGGCCAAAGTCTCTTCTTGGGATTTTTGGGTGAGTACAGTATGAAGTTACRATATCTCCCCACAGACTCTGGCATTTATGAGATCCGAATCCTGTCCAGGGATGACCCTTTTTTCAAGGCAATATTATTTCTAACTCATTTCCCCTCCTCAGAGCAGCCAATACATCTTGCTAGCCATGAAGTTTCCCCGGGCTGAGGGCTGCTGTACAGCGCTTCTGTCTTAGGCTTGCTAACTTGTGACTTCGCAATCCTTGGGTTGCCATGGAAAGGATTACGCTGTGATTAATGAAGGCATTGTCAGCTAATAGTTTTTTTCAAAGCCTTTCCTGAAGCTGCAGAGAACATTTTCCAAGCCTGGCAAAAAGGGGCCGACARGAGAGGTGGCTGCAGACACTCAGTCCTGGGCACATTTTTGGTTAYCAACATCAAGAACGTGCTGTCGGTAGCTGACCCCAATCACTGTCACATTGGCTCTGCCAGTCCCTTTTATGAGCAGAGGAAAAACAGGGGGGGTTTGTTATTCTCTTGGAGCAGAGCCAGTGTTTTTTTGCTCCCAAAGCAGAGTGGGACAAGTGTCAGTGTACCAAGGGTCTGGCAGGATGTGGATTCAGCGTGTAAGGGAGTGCACTTCACATTTGCACTGTGAAACCGTCCTGTCTGCTAGGCAACATCCAAGGAAAACTGATCTGGGATGAACCTGTGTGTTTGTGACTTTCTGGTCCCCCAGACAAGTGCTAGCTAGAGGCAGAAATCTTATTGGGACAGCACTGCCCTGGCTGTGTCCATGTTTGGCATTGTATCCAACCCCAGGCAGACCCTCCCAAACCCTGCCAAGCTTGGAGCTGTGCACAGAGTCCCTCTGGACTGTGGGAACACAATGGTTGGAAAAGCCCTCTAAGATCAARAAGTCCAACCCTCAACCCAGCACTGCCAAGTCCACCATTAAACCTTGTCCCCAAGTGCCACATCTGCATGTCTTTTAAATATCTCTAGGGATGATGACTCCACTGTTTCCCAGGGCAGCCTGTTCCATTGCTGGACCACCCTTTCTGTAAAAAAGTTGTCCAGATATCCAATATAAAGCTCTCCTAGTGAGGACAYGAGTAGAGAGCAGAGTGCAGTTGTGCCTGACTATACAAAGGGAGTGCAAAATGTGGAAATCCAGTGAAAAACGACATTTGAAGTAGATCAAGTACCAAATGAAACCAGGAAAGTTARAAATCTTTTTATTTCTAACAAAACATTTCACAGACACAGGAATGTCTGTGGGCCCCCTCATTTCTTAGCATTGTTGGATGAGTCCCCCCCCACCCCGGTCTGCCCAGCCTGAGCAGCTARGTAGCAACTTCAACCTCAGCCCAGCTAGGATCTAAAAACTGAGTGCTTGGTCCCACTGTCAGCCTCAGAGCAGTCACAGAAAATCACTGAGCTCTTCTTGGACTGCAAATGGCTTTCCCAGGATGTTGGTATGGTCAGTTGCTGCCATCCCCTTTCCTGAATTTAACCTGGTGCTCAAAGTCCCATCCACCCTGGCCTCGATCACTTAGATTTAGTCTTGTAGGTTTGCAGGTTTGCACCTTCAGTTTGCAGGTTGCACCTTCAGTTTGCAGGTGAAACACCTTCCATCTGCCCAAAACACCAGGGCAGGGGGAAAAGGTGCTCTGGACTGTGCTAGATTGGGACCAGGACCCAATATTGGGACCAGGACCCAAATTTTGGGACCAAGCCCGTCTGTGTTCCTCCTCATATCTGCCACTGTCCAGAGAGCACATTCCACTCCTCTGCTGATYTATCTGATTTCAAGAAATCTAAAACAAAAATGGTTCCACTGGGGAGAATTCTGAGGAAGAAAAAATGGTCAGAGGTCTGGAACACTGTCCACAGGATAAATATCTCAATGCTTAGACAAAAGTTCCAARCTGGGAAGAGGTGGGAAGAAAGAAYGCTATASATCCTGGAAGATCATGTTTGCATGGTGAATGCAAAAGGAGGATTCTCCTTAATTKTCCTTTGAAATAGAAAAAATAGGGAGCATCAAATAAAGCTTGTRGAGACCAGGCTCAAAGATAAAGAGACTTTGCACAACCTGTCATCTGAGGTGCTCTTCATGGCAAAACCCTGTGGATCCTGAAAGTATTGGGTTAAAAAAGCGCTCAGACAAGTCTCATTTACAAAAAGCCTCTCAAAAACTATAAAACTATATTTATTGGAGAAAAAAAAAAACCTACCCTTTTCGGGTCTGGAAATTCTTGAGCTGCCAATTCTTATTTCATGGGGAAATATTGCAGAGTAGTGCCATTATATCTGCTTTTGTCCTGCTCCTTAGCCATCCTCTGTCAGAGAGAAACAGCAAATGGGGAGCCCACAAGCTGGATCCAGTGTGGGCTATTATCAAAAATCACTCGAAGTTGTTCATGCCCTGAGATTCTACTTGAAACAATTCTTCTGAGATAGTGGTCTCACTGCACTTCCTAGATGTCTGGGAGAAGATAAAGCATCAGCTCATCATTTTGGTAAAAGTGCTATGTGTTGCATGGGTCGAGGGAAATAAAACAACACCCGTTCTCTTCTTTTTTCATTGAAAATATTTCTATTCCATCAGATACAGAGAGGAGCTTAATGGGATTTCTCGCAGTTTCCGTGTCAGATTTCCTGAAAGCCATTAGGGAATTGCCACAAAGATATTGATCAGCTGGATCTCTGCTAGAAAAGCTGGGGTTTGTGTGTGGATTCCTGTGATTTCCAGAGCTCACCCGTGCTTTTGTTGGGGTGAGGCTTGCTTTGTAAGTCAGTTTTCCATGTGTCTGGTGTGTGTTGGTGCACAGGAGTTTGAATTCATGCCAACAGTAGAGGCTGGGAGAAGAAAATGCTTTGCCTCATGGTGGCATCGAGTTCCCAGCCTAGGGAAAGCTCCCACCAAGCTCAGAGGGCTGAAAAAACTTCACAATGACAGTGGGGCTGGAAGGGATGGGGCACCCACAAACCACAGCATCTCTCATCACCAGAGCTGGGTCCCTTCCCTGGCCGAGGCTGGGGGACAGACACACCTCCTGCACTGGGGCAGAGGAGCCCAGCACGTGTGTGAGGGTGGAAAGAGCCCTGCAAGCCCAGCCAGAGCACATCAGAGTGCTGCCTCCCACGTCTGAGCCTGGGGTGTTTTCCAGCATCAGTGGAGGTTGCTGTTACGTCGTGATGCCCCAGCTATTTCTGTCYTGCCTCCTCTCATCCCTCAGCTTTGCTGGATCAGCGCCATCAAGGCCAGCAGATTTACCCTGGGCTGAGATGAACTCCAGAAACCACTCACACACACACTG